AGTCTAAACAATCAACAAAATAACAAACCAAGCCCTGATTTGTAGCTTTTGCCAATTTCTGTGGTGTAAATACTCCCACTATGGCCAATTCCAAGCTCCCAATGTGATATCACTGAATACAATGTTGGAAGAGATATGCTCTAGCAACATTATATAGCATTCTCACCATATACATGCAATTGAGTTAATAAGCTCAAGAGCACAGGCAACAGTAAAATGTAATGAAATAATTACGAAATGGTGAGTTTTGGGTATATTGTTACTATAATTTATTGAATTAGAAGTTTCTGTAACAGTTTTTTTAATGGCTATGTTTAACTACCAGCTTGCAAAATTCTGGAGATTTAATAATTGGCTCTCACTGGTTGACAGGGGCCTTCTTCAGTATATCACAGATCCAAGAGGATTTTAAACAGGAGATGGGGATATAATTAGTGGGGATGGGAGAAGGGAGGACAAAGAAGGGAATCCTATCTAATAATAGAGAAACATGGTAATTAGCCGTAACTTCGATACCCTTCCCATTGGCTAATCAGCGAGATATGCAAATTAACTGCCAGCCAAGATGGCGGCCGGCAGCCAGGCAGCTGAAGCGAACATGAGGCTTGCTTGCTCCAGTGACGGAGGAAGCCAAGGTTCCCAGCCTGCCGCCGCCTGGCTCTGAGCTCCTGAAGCAACAGCTCCAAAAGATACAATGTTTCAATTATAGAAGCTAAAAGATGGCGGTTAATTTGCATATACCAGTTCGAGGGAAGACTGAGGACAACATGGAGGCCAAGTGGTACAGAAGGGAGCTAAGTAGAGGCCTTGAGGACAGAAACGGAGCCAAGGCTGCGGAGGTGGGAGGCGGGAGGTGGGAGGGCAAGCCCAGCCACAGCGGCTGCGAGCTGGAGGGGCAGCGGCTTGGAGGGGAAGGGGCAGCGCCTGGGAGCGGGAGGGGAAACCCAGCAGGAGTGGCTGGGAGCGGGAGGGGAAACCCAGCAGGAGCGCCTGGGAGTGGGAGGGGAAACCCAGCAGGAGAGCTGTCAGTGGGATGGGAAACCCAGCAGGAGAGGCTGGGAGTGGGAGGGGAAACCCAGCCACAGCAGCTTGGAGTGGGAGCGAAGCCCACCTCAGTGGGTTTCACTCCCCTCTCTGCTTCGCTCCAGCCGCTGGAAGCCCTATTCTTGCAGGAATCTTCCTGCAATGGGCCTCTAGTCCTATATAATAAAAGCCTAATATGTTAAGTGTCTGGTCACTGGTCGGCCATTCAACCAATCAAAGCATAATATGCTAATGGCATGCTAAGGCCACTCAACTGCTTGCTATGACTTGCACTGACCCCTAGGGGGCAGACAGTCGACCAGTCGACCAGTTGCTATGATGTGCACTGACCACCATGGGCCAGATGCTCCAACCTGTAGGTTAGCTGGCTGCTGGTGTCCAGCCAATCAGGACTGAGTGAGACGGCCGGACATGCCCTGGAGCCCTCCCACGGTCCCTCCCTGGCTGCCCAACCTCCTGTGTCCCTCCCCGCTCTGATCATGCACTGGTGGGGTCCCTCAGCCTGGCCTGCGCCCTGTCGCATTTGGCCCGAAAGTGGAATGACTCGCTATGACGACATGCACTGACCATCAGGGGGCAGACGCTCAATGCAGGAGCTGCCCCCTGGTGGTCAGTGCACTGCCATAGAGGGAGCACCACTCAGCCAGAAGCTGGGCTCACTGCTGGCGAGTGCAGTGGCAGTGGCGGGAGCCTCTCCTACCTCCGTGGCAGCACTAGGGGTGTCCGACTGAAGGCTTAGGCCTGCTCCCCAGGAGTGGACCTAAGCCATCAGTCAGACATCCCCTGAGGGCTCCTGGACTGCGAGAGGGCACAGGCCAGGCTGAGGGATGCCCCCCCCCAGTGCACAAATTTCATGCACCAGGTCTCTAGTTAAGTAGAATACCCACTTCTCACTATGGACAAATATTATCACTCACCAAAACTGGACATACAGGAGTGGATTCAGGGATGCAAGTCAAAGTGGACTCTTTGAAAAGACCATCAGGAAGCAGGACTATCCATTTAAATGCAGAGCAGAGAAGGATGAGGGCCGTTTTCAGGCTTGAAGAGAAGTCATGACTCTTCTTCAGATGCCTGCAGACACGGTGCTCACTCCTGGTCAGCAAGACCCTGTGGGTTGGAGGTGGGGTCATACTTTTTGAATTCCCAACATCTAAACCTTGAGCCCTGGCACATTGGCTCTCAATGGAATTTATTTTGGCTAAGTTACTATGCATTAATTCTTTGATTTTTAAAATAATGTTTACTTTGCCCTTCTATAAAAGGAACATACTGCTACTCTCCACAACAAGCATGACAAATTCAAAGGCTAACACCAAACAAATGAGGCATGCGGCCCGCAGGCCATGAGTTTGACATGCTTGCTCTACAAAGTGTAGTTTGAGCCTAAAGGAATATCTGGAAAGCGATGTAAACCTTCCTGGAGAGACCCTGGGAGCCCGGGGCCCCTGGGCTCACTGACCGGATGTTCTGGAGGAAGCAGAGCGCTGCTCAGAGGGGCCTGCTGGGCCAGGGGCGTGCTGCTGGAGGGTCAGGAAGGTGTGGGCCAAGCGCACAGCCTGTGGGAACTCCAAGGGAAACAGCCTGTGACCCTTTCTCTCCTCTCAGCCCTCAAGTCTCTGGCCCTGGTGATTGCCCCTGCCCCTCACATCATCCCCTTTTGCATGTGCTTTCCACTCACCTTGTGTCAGGCCACACAAGCCCGGGCACTGGGCAGCTGTTCCGGTTTACGGACTCGGCTTATCTTGAGGTAAGTCCTCCATTAAATCCTCCCCTCTGAGCTGAGAGTGTGGTTACCCACGTTCCCTGGAGCACTGACCAGCTTCAGTTAGGGGTCTCCTTGGTTAACTAGCACAGCAATTCTGCCTTTAAAGCGAGGTGGCTGCAGCCATTGCCTGCCTTTGACTGGTTCTTCCCAATGAGCTGATGGGCCCTGGGCAGTGATGTGCTGAGGAACCAGCAGTGATCTCGTTGGAATGCAGATGCTGACTCCTGAGGCCTGGGGGTGCCTTTCCAACAAGTTTCCAGGTGGTGCCAACATGGCTAGTCCGAGGGACCACACTGAGTAGCAAGGACTGGGGTACACAGCCTCGCCAAGGCCACCAGCAGCCCCACTGGTGAAGCCATTTCTGCTCTCAAGCCTAGTTTTGCAGGTTTGTGCTGCCCTCTCCCCTGCCCTCACTGTATCCTCAACATTAATCGTGTGAGTAGCATTTATTGAGAAGCTGTGGTGTGTCAGTCACAATAGATGAATAAAGAGAACAAATAACTCTCCCAAGGAGGACAGAGCAGCCCAGCTGAGCTCAGAACCTGCCCTATCAGCCGGGAGGCTTTGCTATTTCTATTTCCTTCCTGGTTTTGTTGCCTGAGGTGAGTGTTTTCAGCTGCTTTCCACCCAGACCTCTGCTCCCGGAGGCTGTCTGCGAAGTCCCCTCCCCCATCCTTGGTCTTCCTTTTCTTCTGGCTTCTGGCAGCTCTATTGCTAATTGCCCTTTCCCCTTGTGTGGCTGGAGGTCTCCTTGTTCCTGCATTTCCTTGAGCTAAAATGGCTGTAATAGCCGATGTCCCTGGAAATAGCGCAGGTGGTGAAGGAGAGCAGGACGGAGATGGAAAGGGCCCCATGGTGGGGAGCTGGTGCCGGCCACGCGGTCAAGTTTGAGCCTCACCCGTCAGACTTACTTTTCCATAGATGAGAAGGTGTAAAAATGTGCCTGGCTCGACAGGAAATGTGTTAGACATTTTGAACAAGGGTCATTAAAGTATTTCATGCTTTCGGGTGGCAGTGTCATGTTGCATGATGGTGGGCCTCAGGGCGCAGGCAGCCTCTGATGTACGCACTTGTTGTGACCGATTCCAGGCAGGAGTGTGGCCACACAGCGTGGGAAGGACGAGGTGAGAGGGGGCAGTGCCCCTGCAGCATGGAGATCAGTCTGGTGGGTGCAGGGGTGCAGGTCCCATAAGCTCTAAGCCTTGCTCAGGGTTGGGAACCTGAAATGACCCCATGGCACGCAGAAAGCCACTGAAGGCTTTAATGTGGAGGGAATGACACAATCAGGGTTGTGTCTTAGGAAAAGGTCTCTGCAGGATGGAGGAGGGACTGGGCCAGTGGCAAGGCTGGGAGCAAGAAGACTACTTGTTAGAATATGGGTGCTCCGGCTGGGAATGGTGGTTAGGCCAGGCCAGTGGCAGTGTGGCTGGGAGGGTAGATGGAGAGAGATTTTGGAGATGGTGATTCAGAAGGTGGGAAGTTAAGGACAGGAGAAAAGGAAGACCTGAAGGTTTGGCTTCAGCAGCTGGGTAGATGGTCAGTCATTTATTTGGGTAGGGACGAGGAGGAAGAGGAGGAGGAGAGAAGATGGTTTCAGTCCTGGGCACCCATGGGGATTATCTAATAGCACTGGGAACACCGAGCAGGGCTCACCAGAGATGCTGGAGTGAAGGTGCACCACCTGGGGGTGATGGGTGGCAGCCGGTGACTTGCGTGTCTAAGAGGAGAGAGGCCAGGGCAGAAAGACCACCAGCATCTGGCGTTTCATTTGTTCATGTCACAAGTAATGCCACGGCACAGATCTGAGTGCACACCTTTGTCAATTAAATTCTCAGCATAGCTTCCCGAACAGGAATAACTTGACGGGAAGGGTGGACATCCCTTGGCTCCTGGTAAGTGTTGCCAAATGGCTTTCAAATCGGCTGCACCAGAGTAGGCATCCCAGCGGAACAGCTCACTGCAGCCGCGTCGCACCGAGAGGGCTCAGCACTGCCGCTAGCTTGATGGACGCTTTCCAGACGCCTAATAATGAGTTGCAGTTTCTTTTATTGTTTTTGTTAATCTCACTTCTGTTTATATACTAGTGTTGGGACCCACAGATAGTTCTCTCTCTCTTTTCACAGAAATAGTCACTTTCAGCTTGATCTTCATATCCCAGCCGGTTGTACTGCACCTGTGGGCGTCCCAGATGATTTTACTGCACCTGTGGGCGTCCCAGCTGGCTGTGCTGCACCTGTGGGCGTCCCAGCCGGTTGCTCTGCACCCGTGGGTGTCCCAGCTGGTACTGCAGCTGTGGGTGTTCCAGCTGGTTGCACTGCACCTGTGGGCGTTCCAGCTGGTTGTGCTGCACCTGTGGGCATCCCAGCTGGTTGCGCTGCACCTATGGGCGTCCCAGCCGGTTGTACTGCACCTGTGGGTGTTCCAGCTGGTTGCACTGCACCTGTGGGCGTCCCAGCTGGCTGTGCTGCACCTGTGGGCGTCCCAGCCGGTTGCTCTGCACCCGTGGGTGTCCCAGCTGGTACTGCAGCTGTGGGTGTTCCAGCTGGTTGCACTGCACCTGTGGGCGTTCCAGCTGGTTGTGCTGCACCTGTGGGCATCCCAGCTGGTTGCGCTGCACCTATGGGCGTCCCAGCCGGTTGCTCTGCACCTGTGGGTGTTCCAGCTGGTACTGCACCTGTGGGTGTCCCAGCTGGTTGTGCTGTACTTGTGGTTCCAGCTGGTTGCACTGCACCTGTGGGTGTTCCAGCTGGTACTGCACCTGTGGGTGTCCCAGCTGGTTGTGCTGTACTTGTGGGTGTCACAGTGGGAAGCAGCTTCTAAACTCAGGAACCTAGGAAGGGAATCTGGTGACTGAAGCCCAGACAAGGATCTTGACACTGCATTTCTCTCCCTCCAACCAGTCGAATGTCATGTGGGGAAACGCCTTCAGTTCTCCAGCCCTCAGCTACTCGCACAGGTTTCCTTTCAATGCTAGAGTGAGGGCCCTTGAATTGGTTAAGCTCCTTACAGAAGTGAAGGACCATCTCTTTTCTAGGCATTCTTTTTATTTTTTTAAAATTTATCTTTATTGTTGAAAGTATTACAGATGTCCCCCTCCCTCTTTTTCCCATTGACCCCCTCCCCTCCCAGGCCTTCACCACACTATTGTCTGTGTCCATGGGCTTTGCATATATGCATATAAGTTCCCCAGTTAATCCCCCCACCCTCCCCTGTCTTCCCTCTGAAATCTGCCAGTCTGTTCCGTGCTTCTGTGTCTCTGGATCTATGTCGTTCATCAGTTTATTTTGTTCGTTAGATTCCACACCTGAGTGAGCCCATGTGATACTTTTAATGATCTGCTTGGGGTGGATAGCTTTGGCTATGAACCTGCTTCACCTCTAGAGGAAACATTTAAACAAAGTGTTCTTTTTGTGGGTTTGTGACCCCTGAGCCACTTCTCAACCTGCATTCAGTTGGGACCCACTAAAGGCCCTACATGCCTGAGTCCCTCTACCAGAGACTCAGCTCCCAGCTGTCGCTATGGGGGCGGGGAGGGCTGGGGTGGGGGAGAGAGTTCAGCTCTCTGTGGAGAGGGCCCTCCCAGGCCTGTTTGGCTCCTGGGAGGAGGCGGTAGAGCCCGTCTTGCTCACTGCATTCACTGATGGTTCCCAGCACACTCACCCGCTTCTTTCACCTTCCCCTCTCCCTTGGGGGGTCCGACCAGTGAAACGAATGCATGTTTCGTGGTTGCAGGCAGAAAGGTGCCGTTTAGAAGCGAGGCCCTGTTTAATGTAACAGGCCAAGGGGAGCATCCGGAGGGGCAGGCCAGAACCTGGCCTGCCAATGCCACTCCCGAAACTTTAAGTAGGAACAGTTACTTTACTCTTTCATTTTATTTTATTTTATTGATAGGCTTTCCTTTTAGAGCACTCTGTGTATATGCCCTTGAGGCCCATGCAAGTTGTTATATGTATTAATAGTTTGCTTTTCATTGCTGAGTAGTATTCCATGTACAGCTGTACTGCAAACTGTTGAGCCGTTCACTAGATAAGGGCTTTAGGTTGCTAACAGTTTTTGGTTATTGAGTCAAACACAAATATTTGTGTTCAGGTTTTTGTGTGGACATGTTTTCACTGCTCTGGGACAGGTGCGGGAGTGGGACTGCTGGGTCATGAGTAAGAGTTGTTAGTTGTTCTGAGTGGCTGTGTCCCACAGCCCTGCCTGAGGTGTCGGTTTCCTTCATCCCCACCAGCGTTCGGCGCCATCTCTTCCCCGCTGTGACAGCGGGCAGTGCTGTTGCATCCTCCTGTTACAGCGAGCAACGGTGAACATCTTCATACGCTTACTTCCAAATGTATCTCTACTTCAGCGAAATGTCTGTGTATGCCTTTTCCCCATTAAACTAAAAAAATAACAGAACTTATTCTTTTCAGAGCACATTAAGGGTTATAGCAAAACTGAGTGATAATGGACAGAGATTTCCCATAGCTCCCCACCCGCCCTTGGGCGTGCCTCCCCATCACCAGCCTTCTCCATCAGCCTGGGGGATGAACTGCTCCGGCTAATGAGTATCATACAAGGAGTTTTCCTGCCCTAAGAACCCTCTCTGCCCCACCTATTCACCCCCTTCTCCCCTCAACTACTACTCTTGTAACTGTCTCCACAGTCTTGTCCTTTCAGGAATGTTCTCTAGTTGGAATTACACAGTATGCATCCTCTTTAGATTGGCTTCTTTCACTTAGTGATATGCAAGGAAGTTTCCTCCATGTCTTTTTATGGTTCGATAGTTCATTTCTTCTTAGCACTGAATAATGTTGCCTTTTCTGCATGTACCAAGTTTACTCATCCATTTGCCTACTGCAGGAAACCTTGGTTACTTGCAGGTTTTGGCGATTAGGAATAAAGCTCCCTGGGACATCTGAATGCAGGTTTCTGTGTAGACACACGTTTTCAACTCCTTTGGGTAGATCCCAAGGACTGCAATTGCTGGATCATATGGTGGGAGGATGTTTAGTTTTGTAAGAAACCACCAAGCTGTCTTGCAGTGTGGCTGCGCCATGTGGCCTTCCCACCAGCAGTTAATGGCAGGTCCTGGGGCTCCACATCTCTGTCAATGTTTAGTGTCAGTGTTCTGAGCGTTGGCCGTGCAACAGGGGTACATGCTGTCTCCTGCTGCTGTCACTTGTGCTCCCCTGATGACGTATGACCTCATCTCTTCATGAGCTTCCTTGCCACTTGGATATCTCCTTTGGTGGTGCATCTGTTATAATCATAGTCCTTTATTAAGTTGGGTTGTTTGTTTTCTTATTGATTTTTAAGGGTTCTTTGTATGTTTTGCATGACAATTCTTTATCAGACGTGTCTTTTGGAAATATTTTCTACCAGTTTGTGGATTGTCTTCACATTTTCTTCTTTCTTTTTTTCCTTTTTATTGAATTTATTGGGGTGACACTGGTTAACAAAATTATACAGGCTTCAGGTGCACAATTCCACAACACATCATCTGCACACTCTATTGTGTGTTCACTACCCTAAGTCAGGTCTTTGTCCATCACCATTTACCCCCCTAAACCCTCCTCCACCCCAACCCCTCTCTTCGCAGTCACCCCACTGTTGTCAGTGTCTATGACTTTTTCTTTTTTACTCAATCCCTTCACCTCCCCTCACTCAACCCTGCCACACCCCCAACAGCTGTCAGCCTGCTCTCTATCTATAAATCTGTTTCTATTTTACTTGTTAGTTCATTTTATTCATTAGAATTCATATATCAGTGAAATTGTATGGTACTTGTCAGAAATTCGTCAGCATAATGCTCTCCAGGTTCATCTATGCTGTCCCAAAGGGTTAGATCTCCTTTTATATGGCCGAGTAGTATTCCATGGTGTAAATGTACCACAGCTTTTTTATCCACTCATCTACTGATGGGCACTTGGGCTGCTTCCAAATCTTGGCTATTGTAAGTAACCTTGCAATGAACATGGGGGTGCATATATTCTTTCAAGTTACTGTTTCAGGATTTTTCAGATAAATTTCCAGAAGTGGAATCATTGGGTCATAAGGCAGTTCTATTTTTAAAATTTTTGTGGCACCTTCATACTGCTTTCCAGGGTGGCTGCACCAGTCCGCATTCCTAGGAAAAGTGCAGCCGGGCTCCCTTTTCTCAACATCCTTGCCAATACTTGTTGTTTGTTGTTTTATTGATAGTAGCCATTCTGACAGGTGTGAGGTGATAGCTCACTGTGGTTTTAATTTGCATTTCTCTGGTGATTAGAGCATCTTTTCATATGTCTAAAGGACATTTGTATGTCCTTTTTAGAGAAATGTCTATTCAGGTCATTCATCCATTTCTTAATTGGATTGTTTGTTATTTTGGTGTTGAGTTATATAAGTTCTTTATAAATTTTGGAAGGTCATGTTGTTTACTGTTCTATTCATAGCACAGAGCTTAAAATATAATAGGTCCTTGATAAGCATTTGTTAAATAAGGGATGGCTGAGGCAAGGGTGTGAGGACAACTTGCCGGATAAGTTCAGGGCCACTGCCCCAGTGCCCACGCCAGGGAGTGGCCCAAGCTGGACACTGGGAAGCCTGGGCCCAGGTGGGGCTCCTAGGCCGGGCCAGGCTCGGGGGAAGGGGCTGGGCACTGGAGGCCAACAGAGAGTCCCCGGGAGGCAGGATGCACCACATTGTGGACTAAGGGGAACCTAAGGAAGCTCTGGGATGGGCCATGGGCCTCGGATGGAAAGGAGACTCTCAGGCAGTAGAGGACCATGGGGGCCTCAGGGAATGAAATCAGCGTAGAGGACTCCGCCCACAGAGGGTGAGCCCTGGAAAGGCACATGGAGATGCACCCATGGCTGAGGCTCTTCCCGAGCCTCCCTAGGGGAGGACAGGGCTTACTGTGTGGTGGGACCCATCCATCCTTCAGCAGTTAATGACCCTGTTTAGTCCACGGTGCAGCAGTACCTCAACCACCAGACTGTTATACAAACTGGAAGAGAAGCCCAGAGGCATCGCCGTGTGCAGTGAAAGGCTCTGAGTGACAATTTCATAGCCTGAGATAAGCACAGGTGAAGCATCCAGAACAGTGACCGACCGGCAGGCGTGTAGTAAGTACCTGTTGTCCTAGAGCAGTAGTTCTCAATCTTCCTAATGCTGCGACCCTTTAATACAGTTCCTCATGCTGTGGTGACACCCAACCATAAAATTATTTTCATTGCTACTTCATAACTGTAATTTTGCTACTGTTATGAATCGTAATGTAAATATCTGATATACAGGATGTATTTTCATTATTACAAATTGAACATAATTAAAGCATAGTGATTAATCACAAAAACAATATCCTATCTAATAATAGACAAACATGGTAATTGACCATACCTTCGCTACACCGCCCATTGGCTAATCAGCAAGATATGCAAATTAACCCAACCAAGATGGCGGCCGGCAGCCACGCAGCTGAAGCGAGCAGGAGGCTTGCTTGCTCCAGTGATGGAGGAAGCCAAGGTTCCCCGCCTGCCGTGGCCTGGCTCTGAGCTCCGAAAGCAACAAAGTTTCAATTATAGAAGCTAAACAAACCCCAGATACCTGCTTTCAGCAGGCC